TCCTAACCTTCCTCATTACAGGATGAGTCCTAAAGAGAGCAAAATCCTACAAGACAAGGTCGAGGACTTGATGCAAAAGGGGTTTATAAGGGAAAGCATGAGCCCTTGTTCTGTCCCTGCACTTTTGGCACCTAAAGGCGATAGTCGAGCCATTAACAAAATCACAGTCAAGTATCGCTTCCCAATTCCAAGGTTAGACGATATGCTTGACAACTTGGCTTGAATTTGCTTCGAACAGTCTTGAATTTGCTTCGAAGGTTTAAGAATTGTAGTTGCCCTCCATTAATGAAGCTTTTGTTAGCACCATAAATTGGTTTTGTTTCACACTATCTTGATCAAGAGTGTGTGAAGCTTTTGAGAATTGTGGTTGAACTCCTTTGATGAAGCTTTTGTTGGCACCATAAATTGGTTTTGCTTCACATTGTCTTGATCAAGAGTGTGTGAAGCTTTTGAGAATTGTGGTTGCCCTCCATTAATGAAGCTCTTGTTGGCACCATAAATTAGTTTTGCTTCACACTGTCTTGATCATGAGTGTGTGAAACTTTTGAGAATTGTGGTTGAACTCCTTTGATTAAGCTCTTGTTGGCACCATAAATTGGTTTTGCTTCACACTGTCTTGATCAAGAGTGTGTGAAGCTTTTAAGAATTGTGGTTGAACTCCTTTGATGAAGCTCTTGTTGGCACCATAAATTGGTTTTGCTTCACACTGTCTTGATCAAGAGTGTGTGAAGCTTTTAAGAATTGTGGTTGAACTCTTTTGATGAAGCTCTTGTTGGCACCATAAATTGGTTTTGCTTCACACTGTCTTGATCAAGAGTGTGTGAAGCTTTTGAGAATTATGGTTACCCTCCATTGATGAAGCTCTTGTTGGCACCATAAATTGGTTTTGCTTCATACTGTCTTGATTAAGAGTGTGTGAAGCTTTTGAGAATTATGGTTGAACTCCTTTGATGAAGCTCTTGTTGGCACCATAAATTGGTTTTGCTTCACACTTTCTTGATCAAAAGTGTGTGAAGTTTTTTAAAATTGTGGTTGCCCTCCATTGATGAAGCTCTTGTTGGCACCATAAATTGGTTTTGCTTCACACTGTCTTGATCAAGAGTGTGTGAAGATTTTGAGAATTGTGATTGAACTCCTTTGATGAAGCTCTTGTTGGCACCATAAATTGGTTTTGCTTCACACTGTCTTGATCAAGAGTGTGTGAAGCTTTCTACGAGTTGTAGCGTTTGTATTGTTACAGAGGGGAAATGTTTGAAGCAGATGCAAGAGGGCTGAATAACTTGATCTTTGTATGCCATGCACTAAAGTTGTTATTGGCTTGCAATAAGACTTTGTTGGTGACTATAACTCTTGTTGGGCATAAGTGCTCCCCTAGTTGAGTTGTCAAGCTTGAGGGTTTTTGATTATTTGTGAATGCTAGGAGTTCACATGTACAAGTTGTACCACTCGTCTTCTGGTAGGTGGAATGAATAGTGAGTTGCTTTAATCACTTGGTTGGTGGTACGAATGTGAGTTCCTTCATCACCTTTCATTACCTAGTTGGTGGCACGAGGATGAGTTCCTTTTTCCCCTGGTTGGTGGCATGAATGGCAAGTTTCCAAATGATATTAGAGTACGGGTTGTACATTTCATCACCTGGTTGGTGGCATGAAGGAGAGTACAGGTTGTACGTTTCATCACCTGGTTGGTGGCATAAAGATGAGTTCATTATTCACCTGGTTGGTGGCATACGTGGCAAGTTGCCAAATGATATTAGAGTACGGGTTGTACATTTCATCACCTGATTGATGGCGTGAAGGAGAGTATAGGTTGTACATTTCATCACCTGGTTGGTGACATGAAGATGAGTTCATTCTTTACCTGGTTGGTGGCATGAGTGGCAAGTTTCCAAATGAAATTAGAGTACGGCTTGTATATTTCATCACCTGGTTGGTGGCATGAAGATGAGTTCCTTCTTCACCTGGTTGATGGCATGAGTGGCAAGTTGCCAAATGATATTAGAGTACGGGTTGTACATTTCATCACCTGGTTTGTGGCATGAAGATGAGTTCCTTCTTCATATTTCATCACCTGGTTGGTGATAATAAGGGCAAGGTGTCGAGGCACATTGTAGCAAGTGTCGAAGACACAAAGTATGTTGAACCCTTTCGAAACACAGTTGGCTTATGTATGGATGTGTTGGAATGTATGAAGTTTATGTATGAATGTGTTGGAATGTATGATGTTTATGTATGAATATGTTGAAATGTATAATGTTTATGTTAATTGATATGAGTGATGCTTATGAATGTTTTGCTATGCATGAAGGGATCCATGCTTTTGATATGTGAACCATGTTGGTTGTAACACTTAGTATCACATACTTTGTGTCAAAGTACGCATGTTGAAGCTCTGAGTTGGAGTATAAGGGTAGGTCATCATAGACTAAGTGTTCCAGTGCTATGAACGCAAAAGACTCAGAAGAAGTTGTATGAATTCCCTATTCTTTAAATATTTGTCGAATGGCTTACGTGACAAAAGACCTCAAGCGGTTGAGAGTCAAAACATTTGTAATGTGTAAGCCTTCTTATAATAGCATTTTCTTCAGTACCTAGTCCTTCACTTTGAAAGAGTGAGGCTTGGCCCCATAGTCATAATAGTCAATGGTACATTCACCCCTGGTTGTCCTGATACGAACTTTTATCCCTCTTGTTGTAATAGGCTTGCTAAGAGTAAAAATCCTTCATCTTACCAAGAGACAGATACGTTTGGTGACTTAGCGAATAGCTACATGAGGCAGGAAATGATGCAATGGGTGTCTGAATGGCCAATATCTCCTCACTTGGTAGAACTTGACTTCCACTTCCCATTTGTTGATAAGGGTTAACCATATGGGGGTTCCCTTGGTATGTCCTTGCTTTGGCGAAAGCGTGGTTGTAAGCCTGTGCCATCACCTCAGACTAAGTCTTCCAAGTGTTGGCATTGATCATGTACTTGAAGAAACAATCACGTAGGCCTGCTGTGAAGGCCTTGAGGTCGGTCTTGTCATCTACCTCAGCACAACGAGAATACTCATGGCTGAAGCGACCGACATACTCTCATAGTGACTCGTCCGGCTTCTGGCGAATAATGTACAAGTTATCTGCAGAATGCAAGTGATCAATCTGGAAGATGTGTTGAGAGAGAAATAGTTTCCTCAATCCCTCAAATGAGTCTACTGTCTCAGGTGGAAGACGGCAATACCAGTTTAGAGCTCCGTCAGAGAGGGTAGAGGGGAAGAGAAGACATCGCTCTTCGTCGGTGTGCATCCGATATGCCATGGTGGACTCAAAAAGGTTAAAGTGTTCAATTGGGTCCTCCCTTCCAGTATAAAGTTGTAAACCAAGCTTTTGTTTTGTCTTCGCTTGAAGAGGGGTGTTGATGATCCTTCTTGTGAGATGGCCAAGCCTCGGTTGGTTCCAGTCAGGTATCTCAGCCTGATGTTTGGCCTTCAACTTATTTACTTCCTTAAGGAGCTGTAGAACAAGGGGGTCCTGAGTGGAGTCATGTACCACTGGAATTTTCTTTCGTAAGTCTCCATCGCCTCTTGGAAGTAGGAAAGTTTGAGTAAGGGCGTGTGGTTTTTTTTTGGACTCGCTGTACTGACTTCTAGGGCGAGTCTGTTGGAATACCTCAGAGTCCCCCGTACCTTCATGTTCCTCTAGGACCTGTTGTTCTTTCCCTAAATTAGCTGCTGGCCTGGATCGTAGGAGGGGACCGAGTCTTTCAGAAACCCTTGGGTCATTGATCTTCGAGCATATGTGGAAGGGATTCTTTCGACGTTGCTTTAGAAAGTCTCGGCAGTCGCGATAAATGGCTTTCGATCCTTCCAACCCTTTTGTAAGGAGGTGTCTTCATCTACTTCTTCTACTTCGAGTCGAAGCATCTGGGTTGAGAAGTCTCATGTTGATCAATGTTTTGATGATTAGCTCGCTCATCATCAGGGATACCCATGTCGAAAGGAGGTGACCCTCCGTATTGGGGGGTACCCAGATGATGGTTGATGTCCACAAGGGCAACGAGCTCGCGTGTTTGAGTACGCCTAGTTTCGTGGAGCGTCTCAAAGAGCTTCTTATACTGCTCTTAGAGGACCTCATTCTTCAAGTAGAGGAGTTATCATTAATTGTGAAGGGTTTACACAAGTACATAGGTTCAAGCTCTCATTTTGTGAGTATTAGTAAATGATTTAGTAGAAATGACATTTTGAAATATTGTGAGAGAATGATCTCTATTTATAGAAGAGAGTTTCTAGTTTCATTCTGACATTGACATGTGTCGAGTTATGATTGGCTTCTGATGTTGACACGTGTCGCGCTATGATTGGTTTCTGATGTCGACACGTGTTGAGCTATGATTGGCCTCCTGGTTGGAGGGAAACTCTTCTAGGTCCTTGACGGTATAACGTTGACCGGTGCTTAGTAGTTTCGGGATTGGTCAAGTATGGTACAAACATAGTGGATACCACCAAATCCGCATACGACCTGGCGATGAGTGGAAGATGGCTTTTAAGACAAAAGAATGGCTATATGAATGGCTAGTAATGCCGTTTAGGCTTTCCAATGCGCTAGGCACTTTTATGTGGCTAATGAATCAGGTATTCAAACTTTTTACTAGAAAGTTTGTTGTTGTATATTTTGATGATGTTCTAATATATAGCCAAGATGAAGATGAACACCTAGCACACTTAAAAAATGTGCTAATTGTTTTGCAAAAGAATAAATTGTATATTAACTTGAAGAAGTGTAGTTTTATGACCCATCGGCTAGTGTTTTTGGGATTTGTTAGTGGAGATGGAATACATGTTGATGAAGAAAAGGTCAGAGCAATTCGTGAGTGGCCAACTCATAAAACTGTGCGTGAAGTTCAAAGCTTTCATGGTTTGGCCACCTTTATCGGCGATTTATTAGAAACTTTAGTAGCATTATGGCTCCAATAACTAAATGTTTAAAGGAAGGAAAGTTTCATTGGGGCGAAGAAGCTGATCAAAGCTTTGCCTTAATAAAAGAAAAACTTTCAACAGCTCCAATTTTGGCATTACCAGATTTTGACAAGTTGTTCAAAGTGGAATGTAATGCTTCAATTGTTGGGATAGGACCTGTTATATCACAAGAGGGAAGACCAGTTGCATTATATAGTGAAAAGCTTAGTGAAGAACAAAAGAAATGGTCTACTTATGAGCTAGAATTTTATGATGTTGTTCGAGCTCTTAAAGTTTGGGAGAATTACCTAATTCAGAGGGAATTCATTCTTTATATCAATAACCAGGCCTTGAAGTTTATAAATAGCCAGAGTAAAATAAATCGCATGCATGGTAGCTGGATCACCTATATACAACAATTCACCTTTTCTTTAAAGCACAAGGCAGGAACACAGAACCGTGTTGCTGATGCTTTGAGCAAGAGATCATCATTACTTATGCATTCCTAGAGGGTCGCTAAGAGAGCATTTAATTCAAGAGCTTCATGGTGGTGGGCTGTCACGCCCCAACCCGCAAATAAAGACTATTCACGAGTTAGGGTGTGAATCATATCTTAGCTATAGAAATAAATTCTACAACCAAGATATGGTGGAAAATAAAATAAAATTATAACAATTATACCATACATCAACAAAATTTTACATAAAAAATTAATGAATACGCAACGGAAATAGAATAGTACATAAATTAATTCACAAAAAAAAAACTACCAACAAAATAATAATTAAATTGTAACAATTCTTTCAAATGCATGAAATATATGCAAATGGAATGGATGAATGTACTCACTCCCTTCTAATCCCGTCAACACATACATAAGGCACCCAAGCCTGCACGTCCCATACCATGCTTATACCACTTGGCTCCGAGTACGTTAGAATATGAGTTAACTCCCATTCATCCCTTAAACCTAATTTTTGTAATTAAATTCTCAGTTTCCACTTTATTAAACAGCCACTTCACCCGACGCCCAAATGTATATTCAAGCCCTGCACCTTACGCCTGACATATACAAGATTTCATTATTTTTAATAATCAACCAATTGTATACTCAAACCCTGCACCCTACACTTGACATATACACGATTCATTATTTTATATTCAAGGCAAACTTTAGCCCTTAAATATCCTCACAACTTAAACACTTGCCTGTAACTTCAACATAAATCAAATTGATTAGTAACAAGGGTAATATAATCATAATATTAACAAAATAATAATCTATAATTCATCATATAAAATGTTGCTCATGGACCACTCCATATATTTGTTCATCGTCTCGTCCATCTTGGTCGGGCAACCTGTTTTTATTAGAAAAGAATAGGCATCCATGTTAAAGAAAATAATTGTTAGAGTGAATTATATGTTTCAAAGGCCACAAGGCATGAAATTATGTCTCTAGCTTTCCCTTTCCAAACATCATCTTTTATTTTTATTTTAGCCCACCACTTCTACTTCTTTAATATATAGCTGAAACTATCAGCTGTTCAAACTGGGATAGAAGTCAGCACATAGATTAGAGTGTCGTGGTTTTTGGATATGTTATAGAGGAGATGATAAGGAACAACTTTTGTGAAGGAAATGCTTCGATTCGAGTTACGAAAAATAGGGTTTTCGTGCTCATAACATGACTCTCCAGTTTTCTGCGGGATTAGAGATATGAGTTGGTATTTCAGACATATTGGACGATCACACCGTTGGATGTTTCGGACATTTTGATATATCACGGTAGAGAGACAGACGAACAACTCTCATGAAGGAAGTATTATAATATAATATATGGATGATGGTGTTTTGATCTGTTAAATAGGCTGGACGAATTTCTAGTTTTTTGGATATCTTTCTTTTTATAGATGAAAATGATAGTAGTTTTGATGGAGAGATTTGTTGGGTAAGGTCTCATGTGTTTTTCTGGGATTTGTCCCCCCCCCCTCTTATTTTACAACATTCTCAAGGGAAGTAAATGGATATTTTTGATGGTTTAGTGGGAGTGCTCTCTTAACAATGATCTCAAAATGTAAATAACACAAGATTTAAGTGGTTCGCCAAATCGACTACATCCACTGGGGTTTTCTTTCATTGTATTTCACTATATCTAAGGGACTTACAAATACAATGAAAGATGGCTTAAGGCCTTAACAATATGTAAAACAAAAAGTAATTGGGTAATATGAAGGGGAGGATGGATTTTTATTGGAGTTGTTCTTTTTCTTCTTCTTCTTCTCTGTTTTCTCCTTCTCTCTTCTCCATATCCTCCGTTGGTTCTTTGCTCCTTCCTTTATAGAGATTGCATGAAATCTTCCTCTCCAAAGAATCTCCACAAGTGTGCCAATAGAAAGAAAGCAAGTTTAATGCCAATCATTAAACATAAAATGTGTTCCAATAGAAACACACCAAATGTTAACCTAATCATCACCATGAAATGTGTTCCAATCACAAGGCAACAAATGTTGTCCTAATCCTTATCAATGAAATGTGTTCCAATGGAAAAACAACAAGTGATAGATTAATCATGAATTAATGAATATCATGCAAGGTGTTCCTTGCACCCAAAGGCCACTCCAAACAATTTGGGGAATGAATCCTCACCAATTATCAACCATGATATGTGGTTCAATAGCAAAACGACAAATGTGAAGTTAATCAATATCATGCAAGGTGAACAAACGCTCAAAAGCCACGTTCAAAGTCTAAGGGATATGCATCCCACCCGTTCTCACCTCATTTGAAAATTTGGAATGATAGATTGAAGCATTGAAGAGAGAATATAGACAATTAATTGAAATTCCCCTAGGCTAGAGAGTAAGCATTCTAAAACAACAACAACATATTGCCACATGCATGCCAATACATACACATAACTAGTCTATAGCACCTCTCCAATGTTTAGGGGTGAGTAATCTCTCTACATTAACTCAACTTGCCAACTCACTCCTACTTGGACCAAACTCAACACTTAGCCACACATATAAGCCAAAGGCTTCCCGCCTCCACACCCTAATTATTAGCTTCTATTAATAACCAACTTCCACCTTAACATATCTAGAGTGGTGACTAACCACTCCTCTTTATTCTCTAATGGTTGGCAAAACTCTACTTAGTCTTTATGAGAAAATAAAGCCAAACTCATGCACTTAGACACATGCACGTATGCTATATAGACTTCCACTCCACATTTAGAGTGGTGAGTAATCACCAAATCATTAACTCCTAATGTTACAAACTCTCCACCTCATCTTTGAGAGAAAATATCAAGATAAAATTACTCACTTAGTCCAACCTCAAACTCTCAGCCCTTTGTGAGGAAAATCAAACCAAACTCATTTAAATCTCCCCTCTCCAATTCAAACTAAAAATATCACTAATTACATATTAACATGAAATAGCTAGTTTTTGAAATAATTTGTATCAAAAAGGATTTTACATTGAAACTATTTTACATAATGAAAATAGGTTCTTGTAAAAATAAATCTAATAAAATCATTACGTAAAAATAATTACCCACACACACACATATATAATCAATTTTTTTTTTAAATAAGGGGTATTACATGGGCTTGGTGGACATTTGGGAAGAGATAAGACAGTGGCACTTGTAGAAGAAAGATACTAGTGGCCACAGTTAAAGCGAGATGTTGGAAATTTTGTGAAAGATGTCAAGTCTGTCAAGTAGCAAATGGACAATCTCAAAATACAGGTCTCTATATTCCATTGCCCATTGCAGAGGCTACATGGGAGGATTTGTCTATGGATTTCATTTTGGGATTACCTAGAACTCAAAGAGGTGCAGACTCAGTGTTTGTTGTAGTTGATCGATATTCAAAGATGGCTCATTTTGTTGCTTGTAAGAAAACTGCTGATGCTACCAATGTTGCCAATCTTTTCTTCAAGGAGATTGTTCGTCTGCATGGTGTTCCTAAATCCATCACTTCTGATCGGGATACTAAGTTTTTGTCCCATTTTTGGAGGACTTTATGGTGACGGTTTGATACTTCTCTCAATTTCAGCAGCACTAGTCATCCACAATCTGATGGACAAACAAAAGTTGTCAACCAAACTCTTGGAAATCTCATTCGTTGTACCTCCAGAGATAAGCCAAAACAATGGGACGTGGCATTAGCACAAGCTGAGTTTGCATATAATAGCATGGTTAATCGTTCCACCGGAAAGTGCCATCTAAAGTCTCTCATTGAAGAGTGTTAATTTCCTTGTGGATTCAAGGCTTCCTAGTAGAATACGAAGATATTCTTCTAGTTTCGACTTCCCTTCTAGTTGACTTCATTTGACTTTTGTTGTGTTTACGCTCTGTAGTAAACACAATTCTTACTTCTATGTCATATGTTCGTGAAATCACAAAGTGCCATTGTAAAAGCGCCAATAAGCATGATGTATACTGTTTTAATAAAATAGTTAATATATTCACAGTGGCATTACTTTATAAACGGTTTTTGGTATTTACTTTAGGTGAATGTACTATCCTTTTTTTCGACAAAAAAGAAAAGAAAAAAGATAGTACATTCTCACTGAAGTAATGCCAAAAACCATTTTTGAAGTGGTAGTTGTGCATAAACCTTATAGTGTACATAGTATTTATGCACTTTTCCCTTCTTTCTTTTTTCAAAAATTCCTGCGTATATGTAATGTTAGGCATGGTAGCTTATTGTTATACCTAATTAGTAATTATTGACTAATTATTTGTACATAGAAAACATTATCCCTAATTGTGCATAGGGGTATACTTGCATAACCTCACACGATAACACCTAAGGCCATCTCCAACCAATACGGCCAGAGGGTTGAAAATAGTCTCAAAATGACAAGAAAACCGTCTCCAACCGAGGGCCAGGCCAGAGGGCTCGTGAGCCCCACATAACCAAAAAGGAGAAAAGGGCTAACCGGCTGGCCCAAATGAGCCAGCCAGCTAGCCCCTGGCCGGGCCATAAAGCCATCTTTAACCGAAGGTTAGCCTCTGGCCCTCCAAGAAATTAATATTTTAATAAACAGTGCAAAACCATATTTCTTATCATCTCCAACCGAAGGCCAAAGGGCCATAGGGTAGTGTTATTTAATATTGTTTAATATTATTTAATGTTGTTTCATGTTACTTAATATTATGT